TTTTTTTTTTGAGCTGGGGATTGAACCCTCGCTTCCTGCATGTAAGGAAAGTGCTTCACTACTGAGCACTACATCCCAGACCTCAGTTTTTCTTTAGGTGTGTCTAATCTGGTCTCACAACCATCTCTACAATTCTTTGCTTCATATTTTGAATGCTTGGGGTATTTGTCTGGGAAATCTTTCTGGTTCTGGTTTTTATTTATTTATTTTTTTAAGTCTTAAAGGGTTCTCATTTCCTGTTCCATTCCCTGACATGCCCCTTCCCTATGTCTCTTCACCTGGCTGTTTTCATGTTCAGGTCTGGTGAGATCAGGACTATTTGACAGGTGCTTTTTTTTTTTTTTTTTAACTTCCAGGAAAAACTAATATCAAGACTGAACTTTATGTCCCAGGAGAAGCAATATTGATCCTTGTCAAGACAGATGACTGCGGAAGATTTACCAAGTGAACATAGCAGTGTCAGGTAGGAAAGGGATACGCATGGAGCAGGGTGTTTCTACCAGGAACCCCAAACTATAAGCTTCAGTATTCACCTGGCAGCAAAGATCCAATAGCTCCTCTAGACAGTGCTAGTGTGCAGGGAGGAAGCATATGTCAGCAGGATGGAGAATATCCTTGTGATATCAGAAAGCACCTGAAGTGTTTTTTAGCACGTGATTAGTTGTTCTTTCCCGTGCAGGTTGCCTGGTGCTTTGTTCCCTTAGCCACCTCAAACCGACCTAACAGCATCTATGGCTCTATCTCATCCCCAGCCTAGAGTACTGCCACCTCCACAGGGTCTGCTTCCTTTGTCCTCTGCCTTTGTCAAGGAATGTACTGGTCACAGGATCACTGAAGTTTTGGTTGACACTGCCACTCCAGGATTTGAGCTCTTTATCTTGCCTTCTTAATGGATTTTGTTTCTGTCCCCATCTGATCCCATTATCAGCTATCCCAGGCTGTACTTGGATCCACAGAGGTATACAGAGTGTCTGTGTCACAGTGTATGTGGTCAAAAAAGTGGTGTGGTGGCTGAGGTGACCCAGAAGTATAGTGACTTTAGCACCAAGTAGAGAAAGTCAGCCTTGCCCGCCCCCTACCCCAGCTTCCTGGGGGCCCTACTTGATGTGATTGGCCATTGGCCTGAGCTTGCATCACAATGACCACCAGGGTTGCTAAGCAACTGTCCCCAAGGATTTGAAGAACAAGAGCTTTCCTGCCAGTGTGAGCAGGACATAGCTCTTGCTCCTTTGTGAAGAACTAGTCCTGAGAACTCCTGATGTTACAGTGGATGGCTGCAGATCCTGGAAGTACATGGGGCCACCCAGTAAGGCTGAGGGAAATCTCACTGTGGTGCCTCAACACAGGCCTGGTACCCCTTCCTCAGGCCTGAGTGAGGATGTACCTGTGAATATCCCTAGAGTCTGCCCTGGGCCAAGGGAGAGTGGGACTGCCTGTGAGCCTTGTGGCTGCTGTTTCCAGAGGAGCCCCAGCATGTGGATCAGAGCCTGTAGATGATGGTGCTGCCTCAGCGTCTGTGTGTGTGTGTGTGGGGGGGGGGGGGACTGGGATATGGTGGACCTTAGAAAATGTCATATAATTCTGCCCGATTCTGACACTGGTGTTGGGGTCTCGGATATTTCAAGCTGTGTCTCGGTCTGTGAAGTTTCCGAGATTTTGTGAACTTGGCTCTGTCTCATCCTATGCTATTTTGGGGATGGTCTGCCAGGCCAGCGGCTTCTGGTTCTTGTTTTCCATGAGTTCTGTTTGCGGGTGTGGCGATGAGCAAAAGGGTGACAGAGAGGGGCGAGAGAGAATGTCCACGCGTTTCTGCCCTTTTCAATGTTTTATTCACTCAAATCACCTAATACATAAATCTATAGGTTCTTAATCAAGAAAATAACAATCCTAATGCTGGGCATTGCGATAAACAATTCAAAGCAAACAATTCTATGTTAACTTCTAAGCACTGCAAACATAATCGTGACAGACCTATTACAGACATTTCCTCTGCACGCTAAGCGTAAGTGCTAGATTTCAAAGTCTTAAGTCTTTGGTCTTTATTCCAGCAGATGCACACTCACTCAGACCCCAGCGATCAGATCAGTAACCAATAGAGGCTTCCCCTTGGGGTGATGTTGACGGCTTGCTGAGGAGATGGTTGTAAGAAGACTTCCTTTTCTCACCAGAGTCAAGAAGCTGCTGGAGAGTTTGAGAGCAGTGAGGACAAAGAAGAGGTTTAGGCAGATGTGAAGGGTTGCGATGTCAGTCCAGGTCCTCATCAGGCTCTCAGGCTTTGTGTGCATCAGTGTCGGCTGGCTTGAATGTCTGTTCATTTGATTAATATTAATATAAAATTAGGTTATTTAATTTAATATTTATATTAAATTTGGGGAGCTTCTGCTCATCCTTTGGGTCCCTATCAACTGTTACCAGCTTTCTTAGTGACATCTTTCATTCTTAGAGTTAGGACATGTGGTTTGGTGATTTCCGCCCTGATGTCACACTTCTGACTCTTATCAGGGTTATAACAGATGACATGTGACTTCACCCTAACTCCTACCTGACTTGTGGAAAGTGACTTGCTTTTATCAGGCTATGTCTGATTGACACATTGGAGGGCTCCGTGACTTGCCTGGTGAGACTGCAGGTTTGTTTTAAGATGTAACTGCTTAGGCCTAAAGCCATCCTTATAGGGGGTCACTGTGAGATGAGTGCTGGGATTTGGATATTCCAAATCTGGCCATTAAGTATGCCCTCAGACTGTGATACTGTGATTGGTAGGCAAATAATTACTGACTTAAAAAAATGTTGGAAAGGAAAAGGTCTCATTTTGTATCTGTTGCTACTTTCCAGAAGTATTTGAAACACATAATAAATGTTCACGGATGATTTTTTTTTCAATTGTTCAAACATTCAAGTAGTATTTCAATCCTTCATTCTGTGGCTCCAATTGTATTGTAACTTGAAATTTAGCTAGTTTTTTTTTTAAAGTTCTTTTTCCAGTAAATTTCTTAAGATGCATGTGCTATACAAATAAGTTTTTATGTTTCGTTCATAGCAAACGTCTTTATTCTACTATCCTACTTTGCCTGGATTTGAAATTTGGAGACGTCACTTCATAGTTTTCCAGTAGTAGTGCAGTCAAGTCTAATGCTGTCTATACAGGTTCCAGCTGTGAGAGTTTTTTACTTTTTTCTTCTTTCTTCCTCTTCCTCCCCTCTTTTTTTTCTTTTTCACAATCTTCTCTACTTTTGATTTTTTTCTCTTAAGGGAATTTTTATTTAATGGGAGGACATTTTGTGAGTTTTGCCTCTAAATTTTTTTCTTCCTATTTTTAAAAAAATTTTATTTTTTAGCTTTAAGTAGACACAATATCTTTATTTTTATTTTTTATGTGGTGCTGAGGATCGTACCCAGTGCCTCACACATGCCAGGTGAGCGTGCTACTACTTGAGCCATATCCCCAGCCTCCCTGTTTTCTTTATACCTTTGCTTTAAGAATTTTGACTTTGTAAAAAAATGTTTTTACTATATTCTAGCTTCATTATTTGATCATTTCTAATTTCCAAAAGCACTTCCATGTTCATTTCTCTTTTCTGTCCAAATCAAATTAAGAGAATGGAGTTAGCATCACTGACTTCCTAATGTGATGAACTAAAAAGGAAAAGAGAAGGAAAAAAAAAAGCTTATTCTCTACCTTTTATATTGGATATATATATATATATATTAAGCTGCTTAGGGCTTCACTAAGTTTCCGAGGCTGGCTTTAAACTTGCAATCCTCCTGCCTGAGCCTCCCAAGCCTCTGGGATTATAGGCATGTGCCATTGCCCCCATACCCTTATATATTTTTAATTAATCACACAAGAGTAGGTCACATCACTTTTGTCTTTCATGACATTGACATTATTGAAAAATACTGGCCATTTATTTTGTAAAATATCCTTAAATTGTGTTCATCTAATATTTCCTAATAGTAAGATGCATGTTGTGGTGCTTTGGCAAGTATATTATGTGCATAATGCTTTTTCCTTTTTAGTTCATCACATTAGGAAGTCAGTGGTGCTAACTCCATTCTCTTAATTAAGGTGTTCTTGCAGCTTATCCACTGTTCAATTATCAAATTCCCCTTTATAGTAGTTCAGTGTTTTGTGGGAAGGTATTTTAAAATTATGTAAATATCCTTCCTCTTCAAACTCTTACCCACTAATTTAGCATCCCTGATGATGAGCCATTTAATGTCTACAATGGTTGTGTTGTGATTTTCTAATTACTTTTCTTATTATAGTTAATAGTTGACATTTTACTATAAGGAAGATCTTTCCTTTCGCAGCCATCATTTTATGTTATTCAATGAATTATAACCTGTCTACTTCATTTTGAAGCTTGGATTACCTAATAATTGGCCACTGGGACCCTCTAAAGCTGGCTATTGTATCCTTTTGATAACCCCCTGATACTTTTTACTATTTCCATACATTGTGGAAAAAAAAAAAGTTTCAGGCTCACCTTGGACTTTTAGTTAACTAGCCTAAAGTGTGGAAAGTAAGACAGGGTACTAAAATAAAGTTAAAGAAATAGAAAGGAGCCATATTTCATCTACAGATCAGATGAAGGATTTTACGGTTAAGTGATATTAAACTGTCATATTTTAAAAATCAGAATTGTTTATTAAAATGTATATATTTTAAAACTCAATTAAGAAATTAAATATGTTTACAATTTTTGCACTTAAGCATAAATGAGACATGCATTGTTGATATATCAATGGAAGCAGAAGAAAACTATTTCATAAAGTGAAAGCATAAGTTAGAGGTAAAAACTGAGTAAATAAATGGAAAAAATTTTTGACAATGGAGACTGTGGGCTACAAGAAAGAAAGATGTTTTGTTATGGACACTGAGATAATAAAGAAATAATAGAATACAGCATATTTACTGTGGTGCTTTGAGATAACTACTAAAAATTGCCTATGTAAACTAACAATATAGATGAAGGTAAGGTATATCAAGGAAATTCCTACTAAGGCAAATGACAGAATTTTTTTTTTTTTGATGGTGCTGGGGAAACTTGTGCATGCCAGGCAAGAACTCTACCAACTGAGCTATATCCCCAACCTGAGTCAAAATTTTTGAATAAAAAAGATGAGGATTCATCTTAGCATCATGTGAACCAAAATTCAAAAAATATAAAAATGCTTGTAGTTAAGTATATAATAACCAACTTCTTTCCTCAGCCATCTATTTTCTCTCCTTAGAGAACAATACTGATTTAGATTTTTACATATCCAAAGATTTAATATTGACTATCAAAAACAATTTATGTGTTTCCATCCATATGGTGTCCTTCTAGAAACACTGGTACAAGTTTACTTTAAAACACTGTGCTATTAAAATAGTTTTATATATTATTAAAATAAATATATTTTCAGGGCAGACATAAAATTATTTTTGTAATTTAGAAACATAGTTAAATAAAAAAGAGTTGAAGTTGATAGATGGGGCAATGACACTTTTTTTTTTTTAACCTGTTCCCAATATATCTGGAGTTGACTTGATTCTTGTTTCTTAAGAATTTTCAAGCTGGGCATAGTGATGCACCCTTGTAATCCTAGTGACTTGGGAGGCTGAGGCAGGCGGATTGAAGTTTGAAACCATCCCAGACAACTTAAGCATTAAGCAACTTACTGAATTACAAAAAAAAAAAAAAAAAAAAAAAGTGCTGGGAATGTGCCTCAGTGGTTCAACCCCCAATAGGAAAAAAAACAAACAAACAAAACAAAAAAAAACCTCTTTCATGTTCAGGTCTGGTGAGATCAGGGCTATTTATTTGACAAGTGCTGTTTTTTTTTTTTTTTTCACTATTTTCAACACTTAACTTCTCATATTTTATAATATATGTCTTCCATTCCAGGTAGTTTAATTTTTCTTTTTCTTTCTTTCTTTCTATTTTTTTTTGAGCTGGGGATTGAACCCTCGCTTCCTGCATGTAAGGAAAGTGCTTCACTACTGAGCACTACATCCCAGACCTCAGTTTTTCTTTAGGTGTGTCTAATCTGGTCTCACAACCATCTCTACAATTCTTTGCTTCATATTTTGAATGCTTGGGGTATTTGTCTGGGAAATCTTTCTGGTTCTGGTTTTTATTTATTTATTTTTTTAAGTCTTAAAGGGTTCTCATTTCCTGTTCCATTCCCTGACATGCCCCTTCCCTATGTCTCTTCACCTGGCTGTTTTCATGTTCAGGTCTGGTGAGATCAGGACTATTTGACAGGTGCTTTTTTTTTTTTTTTTAACTTCCAGGAAAAACTAATATCAAGACTGAACTTTATGTCCCAGGAGAAGCAATATTGATCCTTGTCAAGACAGATGACTGCGGAAGATTTACCAAGTGAACATAGCAGTGTCAGGTAGGAAAGGGATACGCATGGAGCAGGGTGTTTCTACCAGGAACCCCAAACTATAAGCTTCAGTATTCACCTGGCAGCAAAGATCCAATAGCTCCTCTAGACAGTGCTAGTGTGCAGGGAGGAAGCATATGTCAGCAGGATGGAGAATATCCTTGTGATATCAGAAAGCACCTGAAGTGTTTTTTAGCACGTGATTAGTTGTTCTTTCCCGTGCAGGTTGCCTGGTGCTTTGTTCCCTTAGCCACCTCAAACCGACCTAACAGCATCTATGGCTCTATCTCATCCCCAGCCTAGAGTACTGCCACCTCCACAGGGTCTGCTTCCTTTGTCCTCTGCCTTTGTCAAGGAATGTACTGGTCACAGGATCACTGAAGTTTTGGTTGACACTGCCACTCCAGGATTTGAGCTCTTTATCTTGCCTTCTTAATGGATTTTGTTTCTGTCCCCATCTGATCCCATTATCAGCTATCCCAGGCTGTACTTGGATCCACAGAGGTATACAGAGTGTCTGTGTCACAGTGTATGTGGTCAAAAAAGTGGTGTGGTGGCTGAGGTGACCCAGAAGTATAGTGACTTTAGCACCAAGTAGAGAAAGTCAGCCTTGCCCGCCCCCTACCCCAGCTTCCTGGGGGCCCTACTTGATGTGATTGGCCATTGGCCTGAGCTTGCATCACAATGACCACCAGGGTTGCTAAGCAACTGTCCCCAAGGATTTGAAGAACAAGAGCTTTCCTGCCAGTGTGAGCAGGACATAGCTCTTGCTCCTTTGTGAAGAACTAGTCCTGAGAACTCCTGATGTTACAGTGGATGGCTGCAGATCCTGGAAGTACATGGGGCCACCCAGTAAGGCTGAGGGAAATCTCACTGTGGTGCCTCAACACAGGCCTGGTACCCCTTCCTCAGGCCTGAGTGAGGATGTACCTGTGAATATCCCTAGAGTCTGCCCTGGGCCAAGGGAGAGTGGGACTGCCTGTGAGCCTTGTGGCTGCTGTTTCCAGAGGAGCCCCAGCATGTGGATCAGAGCCTGTAGATGATGGTGCTGCCTCAGCGTGTGTGTGTGTGTGGGGGGGGGGGGGGACTGGGATATGGTGGACCTTAGAAAATGTCATATAATTCTGCCCGATTCTGACACTGGTGTTGGGGTCTCGGATATTTCAAGCTGTGTCTCGGTCTGTGAAGTTTCCGAGATTTTGTGAACTTGGCTCTGTCTCATCCTATGCTATTTTGGGGATGGTCTGCCAGGCCAGCGGCTTCTGGTTCTTGTTTTCCATGAGTTCTGTTTGCGGGTGTGGCGATGAGCAAAAGGGTGACAGAGAGGGGCGAGAGAGAATGTCCACGCGTTTCTGCCCTTTTCAATGTTTTATTCACTCAAATCACCTAATACATAAATCTATAGGTTCTTAATCAAGAAAATAACAATCCTAATGCTGGGCATTGCGATAAACAATTCAAAGCAAACAATTCTATGTTAACTTCTAAGCACTGCAAACATAATCGTGACAGACCTATTACAGACATTTCCTCTGCACGCTAAGCGTAAGTGCTAGATTTCAAAGTCTTAAGTCTTTGGTCTTTATTCCAGCAGATGCACACTCACTCAGACCCCAGCGATCAGATCAGTAACCAATAGAGGCTTCCCCTTGGGGTGATGTTGACGGCTTGCTGAGGAGATGGTTGTAAGAAGACTTCCTTTTCTCACCAGAGTCAAGAAGCTGCTGGAGAGTTTGAGAGCAGTGAGGACAAAGAAGAGGTTTAGGCAGATGTGAAGGGTTGCGATGTCAGTCCAGGTCCTCATCAGGCTCTCAGGCTTTGTGTGCATCAGTGTCGGCTGGCTTGAATGTCTGTTCATTTGATTAATATTAATATAAAATTAGGTTATTTAATTTAATATTTATATTAAATTTGGGGAGCTTCTGCTCATCCTTTGGGTCCCTATCAACTGTTACCAGCTTTCTTAGTGACATCTTTCATTCTTAGAGTTAGGACATGTGGTTTGGTGATTTCCGCCCTGATGTCACACTTCTGACTCTTATCAGGGTTATAACAGATGACATGTGACTTCACCCTAACTCCTACCTGACTTGTGGAAAGTGACTTGCTTTTATCAGGCTATGTCTGATTGACACATTGGAGGGCTCCGTGACTTGCCTGGTGAGACTGCAGGTTTGTTTTAAGATGTAACTGCTTAGGCCTAAAGCCATCCTTATAGGGGGTCACTGTGAGATGAGTGCTGGGATTTGGATATTCCAAATCTGGCCATTAAGTATGCCCTCAGACTGTGATACTGTGATTGGTAGGCAAATAATTACTGACTTAAAAAAATGTTGGAAAGGAAAAGGTCTCATTTTGTATCTGTTGCTACTTTCCAGAAGTATTTGAAACACATAATAAATGTTCACGGATGATTTTTTTTTCAATTGTTCAAACATTCAAGTAGTATTTCAATCCTTCATTCTGTGGCTCCAATTGTATTGTAACTTGAAATTTAGCTAGTTTTTTTTTTAAAGTTCTTTTTCCAGTAAATTTCTTAAGATGCATGTGCTATACAAATAAGTTTTTATGTTTCGTTCATAGCAAACGTCTTTATTCTACTATCCTACTTTGCCTGGATTTGAAATTTGGAGACGTCACTTCATAGTTTTCCAGTAGTAGTGCAGTCAAGTCTAATGCTGTCTATACAGGTTCCAGCTGTGAGAGTTTTTTACTTTTTTCTTCTTTCTTCCTCTTCCTCCCCTCTTTTTTTTCTTTTTCACAATCTTCTCTACTTTTGATTTTTTTCTCTTAAGGGAATTTTTATTTAATGGGAGGACATTTTGTGAGTTTTGCCTCTAAATTTTTTTCTTCCTATTTTTAAAAAAATTTTATTTTTTAGCTTTAAGTAGACACAATATCTTTATTTTTATTTTTTATGTGGTGCTGAGGATCGTACCCAGTGCCTCACACATGCCAGGTGAGCGTGCTACTACTTGAGCCATATCCCCAGCCTCCCTGTTTTCTTTATACCTTTGCTTTAAGAATTTTGACTTTGTAAAAAAATGTTTTTACTATATTCTAGCTTCATTATTTGATCATTTCTAATTTCCAAAAGCACTTCCATGTTCATTTCTCTTTTCTGTCCAAATCAAATTAAGAGAATGGAGTTAGCATCACTGACTTCCTAATGTGATGAACTAAAAAGGAAAAGAGAAGGAAAAAAAAAAGCTTATTCTCTACCTTTTATATTGGATATATATATATATATATTAAGCTGCTTAGGGCTTCACTAAGTTTCCGAGGCTGGCTTTAAACTTGCAATCCTCCTGCCTGAGCCTCCCAAGCCTCTGGGATTATAGGCATGTGCCATTGCCCCCATACCCTTATATATTTTTAATTAATCACACAAGAGTAGGTCACATCACTTTTGTCTTTCATGACATTGACATTATTGAAAAATACTGGCCATTTATTTTGTAAAATATCCTTAAATTGTGTTCATCTAATATTTCCTAATAGTAAGATGCATGTTGTGGTGCTTTGGCAAGTATATTATGTGCATAATGCTTTTTCCTTTTTAGTTCATCACATTAGGAAGTCAGTGGTGCTAACTCCATTCTCTTAATTAAGGTGTTCTTGCAGCTTATCCACTGTTCAATTATCAAATTCCCCTTTATAGTAGTTCAGTGTTTTGTGGGAAGGTATTTTAAAATTATGTAAATATCCTTCCTCTTCAAACTCTTACCCACTAATTTAGCATCCCTGATGATGAGCCATTTAATGTCTACAATGGTTGTGTTGTGATTTTCTAATTACTTTTCTTATTATAGTTAATAGTTGACATTTTACTATAAGGAAGATCTTTCCTTTCGCAGCCATCATTTTATGTTATTCAATGAATTATAACCTGTCTACTTCATTTTGAAGCTTGGATTACCTAATAATTGGCCACTGGGACCCTCTAAAGCTGGCTATTGTATCCTTTTGATAACCCCCTGATACTTTTTACTATTTCCATACATTGTGGAAAAAAAAAAAGTTTCAGGCTCACCTTGGACTTTTAGTTAACTAGCCTAAAGTGTGGAAAGTAAGACAGGGTACTAAAATAAAGTTAAAGAAATAGAAAGGAGCCATATTTCATCTACAGATCAGATGAAGGATTTTACGGTTAAGTGATATTAAACTGTCATATTTTAAAAATCAGAATTGTTTATTAAAATGTATATATTTTAAAACTCAATTAAGAAATTAAATATGTTTACAATTTTTGCACTTAAGCATAAATGAGACATGCATTGTTGATATATCAATGGAAGCAGAAGAAAACTATTTCATAAAGTGAAAGCATAAGTTAGAGGTAAAAACTGAGTAAATAAATGGAAAAAATTTTTGACAATGGAGACTGTGGGCTACAAGAAAGAAAGATGTTTTGTTATGGACACTGAGATAATAAAGAAATAATAGAATACAGCATATTTACTGTGGTGCTTTGAGATAACTACTAAAAATTGCCTATGTAAACTAACAATATAGATGAAGGTAAGGTATATCAAGGAAATTCCTACTAAGGCAAATGACAGAATTTTTTTTTTTTTGATGGTGCTGGGGAAACTTGTGCATGCCAGGCAAGAACTCTACCAACTGAGCTATATCCCCAACCTGAGTCAAAATTTTTGAATAAAAAAGATGAGGATTCATCTTAGCATCATGTGAACCAAAATTCAAAAAATATAAAAATGCTTGTAGTTAAGTATATAATAACCAACTTCTTTCCTCAGCCATCTATTTTCTCTCCTTAGAGAACAATACTGATTTAGATTTTTACATATCCAAAGATTTAATATTGACTATCAAAAACAATTTATGTGTTTCCATCCATATGGTGTCCTTCTAGAAACACTGGTACAAGTTTACTTTAAAACACTGTGCTATTAAAATAGTTTTATATATTATTAAAATAAATATATTTTCAGGGCAGACATAAAATTATTTTTGTAATTTAGAAACATAGTTAAATAAAAAAGAGTTGAAGTTGATAGATGGGGCAATGACACTTTTTTTTTTTTAACCTGTTCCCAATATATCTGGAGTTGACTTGATTCTTGTTTCTTAAGAATTTTCAAGCTGGGCATAGTGATGCACCCTTGTAATCCTAGTGACTTGGGAGGCTGAGGCAGGCGGATTGAAGTTTGAAACCATCCCAGACAACTTAAGCATTAAGCAACTTACTGAATTACAAAAAAAAAAAAAAAAAAAAAAGTGCTGGGAATGTGCCTCAGTGGTTCAACCCCCAATAGGAAAAAAAACAAACAAACAAAACAAAAAAAAACCTCTTTCATGTTCAGGTCTGGTGAGATCAGGGCTATTTATTTGACAAGTGCTGTTTTTTTTTTTTTTTTCACTATTTTCAACACTTAACTTCTCATATTTTATAATATATGTCTTCCATTCCAGGTAGTTTAATTTTTCTTTTTCTTTCTTTCTTTCTATTTTTTTTTTTTTTTTTTTTTGAGCTGGGGATTGAACCCTCGCTTCCTGCATGTAAGGAAAGTGCTTCACTACTGAGCACTACATCCCAGACCTCAGTTTTTCTTTAGGTGTGTCTAATCTGGTCTCACAACCATCTCTACAATTCTTTGCTTCATATTTTGAATGCTTGGGGTATTTGTCTGGGAAATCTTTCTGGTTCTGGTTTTTATTTATTTATTTTTTTAAGTCTTAAAGGGTTCTCATTTCCTGTTCCATTCCCTGACATGCCCCTTCCCTATGTCTCTTCACCTGGCTGTTTTCATGTTCAGGTCTGGTGAGATCAGGACTATTTGACAGGTGCTTTTTTTTTTTTTTTTTAACTTCCAGGAAAAACTAATATCAAGACTGAACTTTATGTCCCAGGAGAAGCAATATTGATCCTTGTCAAGACAGATGACTGCGGAAGATTTACCAAGTGAACATAGCAGTGTCAGGTAGGAAAGGGATACGCATGGAGCAGGGTGTTTCTACCAGGAACCCCAAACTATAAGCTTCAGTATTCACCTGGCAGCAAAGATCCAATAGCTCCTCTAGACAGTGCTAGTGTGCAGGGAGGAAGCATATGTCAGCAGGATGGAGAATATCCTTGTGATATCAGAAAGCACCTGAAGTGTTTTTTAGCACGTGATTAGTTGTTCTTTCCCGTGCAGGTTGCCTGGTGCTTTGTTCCCTTAGCCACCTCAAACCGACCTAACAGCATCTATGGCTCTATCTCATCCCCAGCCTAGAGTACTGCCACCTCCACAGGGTCTGCTTCCTTTGTCCTCTGCCTTTGTCAAGGAATGTACTGGTCACAGGATCACTGAAGTTTTGGTTGACACTGCCACTCCAGGATTTGAGCTCTTTATCTTGCCTTCTTAATGGATTTTGTTTCTGTCCCCATCTGATCCCATTATCAGCTATCCCAGGCTGTACTTGGATCCACAGAGGTATACAGAGTGTCTGTGTCACAGTGTATGTGGTCAAAAAAGTGGTGTGGTGGCTGAGGTGACCCAGAAGTATAGTGACTTTAGCACCAAGTAGAGAAAGTCAGCCTTGCCCGCCCCCTACCCCAGCTTCCTGGGGGCCCTACTTGATGTGATTGGCCATTGGCCTGAGCTTGCATCACAATGACCACCAGGGTTGCTAAGCAACTGTCCCCAAGGATTTGAAGAACAAGAGCTTTCCTGCCAGTGTGAGCAGGACATAGCTCTTGCTCCTTTGTGAAGAACTAGTCCTGAGAACTCCTGATGTTACAGTGGATGGCTGCAGATCCTGGAAGTACATGGGGCCACCCAGTAAGGCTGAGGGAAATCTCACTGTGGTGCCTCAACACAGGCCTGGTACCCCTTCCTCAGGCCTGAGTGAGGATGTACCTGTGAATATCCCTAGAGTCTGCCCTGGGCCAAGGGAGAGTGGGACTGCCTGTGAGCCTTGTGGCTGCTGTTTCCAGAGGAGCCCCAGCATGTGGATCAGAGCCTGTAGATGATGGTGCTGCCTCAGCGTGTGTGTGTGTGTGGGGGGGGGGGGGGACTGGGATATGGTGGACCTTAGAAAATGTCATATAATTCTGCCCGATTCTGACACTGGTGTTGGGGTCTCGGATATTTCAAGCTGTGTCTCGGTCTGTGAAGTTTCCGAGATTTTGTGAACTTGGCTCTGTCTCATCCTATGCTATTTTGGGGATGGTCTGCCAGGCCAGCGGCTTCTGGTTCTTGTTTTCCATGAGTTCTGTTTGCGGGTGTGGCGATGAGCAAAAGGGTGACAGAGAGGGGCGAGAGAGAATGTCCACGCGTTTCTGCCCTTTTCAATGTTTTATTCACTCAAATCACCTAATACATAAATCTATAGGTTCTTAATCAAGAAAATAACAATCCTAATGCTGGGCATTGCGATAAACAATTCAAAGCAAACAATTCTATGTTAACTTCTAAGCACTGCAAACATAATCGTGACAGACCTATTACAGACATTTCCTCTGCACGCTAAGCGTAAGTGCTAGATTTCAAAGTCTTAAGTCTTTGGTCTTTATTCCAGCAGATGCACACTCACTCAGACCCCAGCGATCAGATCAGTAACCAATAGAGGCTTCCCCTTGGGGTGATGTTGACGGCTTGCTGAGGAGATGGTTGTAAGAAGACTTCCTTTTCTCACCAGAGTCAAGAAGCTGCTGGAGAGTTTGAGAGCAGTGAGGACAAAGAAGAGGTTTAGGCAGATGTGAAGGGTTGCGATGTCAGTCCAGGTCCTCATCAGGCTCTCAGGCTTTGTGTGCATCAGTGTCGGCTGGCTTGAATGTCTGTTCATTTGATTAATATTAATATAAAATTAGGTTATTTAATTTAATATTTATATTAAATTTGGGGAGCTTCTGCTCATCCTTTGGGTCCCTATCAACTGTTACCAGCTTTCTTAGTGACATCTTTCATTCTTAGAGTTAGGACATGTGGTTTGGTGATTTCCGCCCTGATGTCACACTTCTGACTCTTATCAGGGTTATAACAGATGACATGTGACTTCACCCTAACTCCTACCTGACTTGTGGAAAGTGACTTGCTTTTATCAGGCTATGTCTGATTGACACATTGGAGGGCTCCGTGACTTGCCTGGTGAGACTGCAGGTTTGTTTTAAGATGTAACTGCTTAGGCCTAAAGCCATCCTTATAGGGGGTCACTGTGAGATGAGTGCTGGGATTTGGATATTCCAAATCTGGCCATTAAGTATGCCCTCAGACTGTGATACTGTGATTGGTAGGCAAATAATTACTGACTTAAAAAAATGTTGGAAAGGAAAAGGTCTCATTTTGTATCTGTTGCTACTTTCCAGAAGTATTTGAAACACATAATAAATGTTCACGGATGATTTTTTTTTCAATTGTTCAAACATTCAAGTAGTATTTCAATCCTTCATTCTGTGGCTCCAATTGTATTGTAACTTGAAATTTAGCTAGTTTTTTTTTTAAAGTTCTTTTTCCAGTAAATTTCTTAAGATGCATGTGCTATACAAATAAGTTTTTATGTTTCGTTCATAGCAAACGTCTTTATTCTACTATCCTACTTTGCCTGGATTTGAAATTTGGAGACGTCACTTCATAGTTTTCCAGTAGTAGTGCAGTCAAGTCTAATGCTGTCTATACAGGTTCCAGCTGTGAGAGTTTTTTACTTTTTTCTTCTTTCTTCCTCTTCCTCCCCTCTTTTTTTTCTTTTTCACAATCTTCTCTACTTTTGATTTTTTTCTCTTAAGGGAATTTTTATTTAATGGGAGGACATTTTGTGAGTTTTGCCTCTAAATTTTTTTCTTCCTATTTTTAAAAAAATTTTATTTTTTAGCTTTAAGTAGACACAATATCTTTATTTTTATTTTTTATGTGGTGCTGAGGATCGTACCCAGTGCCTCACACATGCCAGGTGAGCGTGCTACTACTTGAGCCATATCCCCAGCCTCCCTGTTTTCTTTATACCTTTGCTTTAAGAATTTTGACTTTGTAAAAAAATGTTTTTACTATATTCTAGCTTCATTATTTGATCATTTCTAATTTCCAAAAGCACTTCCATGTTCATTTCTCTTTTCTGTCCAAATCAAATTAAGAGAATGGAGTTAGCATCACTGACTTCCTAATGTGATGAACTAAAAAGGAAAAGAGAAGGAAAAAAAAAAGCTTATTCTCTACCTTTTATATTGGATATATATATATATATATTAAGCTGCTTAGGGCTTCACTAAGTTTCCGAGGCTGGCTTTAAACTTGCAATCCTCCTGCCTGAGCCTCCCAAGCCTCTGGGATTATAGGCATGTGCCATTGCCCCCATACCCTTATATATTTTTAATTAATCACACAAGAGTAGGTCACATCACTTTTGTCTTTCATGACATTGACATTATTGAAAAATACTGGCCATTTATTTTGTAAAATATCCTTAAATTGTGTTCATCTAATATTTCCTAATAGTAAGATGCATGTTGTGGTGCTTTGGCAAGTATATTATGTGCATAATGCTTTTTCCTTTTTAGTTCATCACATTAGGAAGTCAGTGGTGCTAACTCCATTCTCTTAATTAAGGTGTTCTTGCAGCTTATCCACTGTTCAATTATCAAATTCCCCTTTATAGTAGTTCAGTGTTTTGTGGGAAGGTATTTTAAAATTATGTAAATATCCTTCCTCTTCAAACTCTTACCCACTAATTTAGCATCCCTGATGATGAGCCATTTAATGTCTACAATGGTTGTGTTGTGATTTTCTAATTACTTTTCTTATTATAGTTAATAGTTGACATTTTACTATAAGGAAGATCTTTCCTTTCGCAGCCATCATTTTATGTTATTCAATGAATTATAACCTGTCTACTTCATTTTGAAGCTTGGATTACCTAATAATTGGCCACTGGGACCCTCTAAAGCTGGCTATTGTATCCTTTTGATAACCCCCTGATACTTTTTACTATTTCCATACATTGTGGAAAAAAAAAAGTTTCAGGCTCACCTTGGACTTTTAGTTAACTAGCCTAAAGTGTGGAAAGTAAGACAGGGTACTAAAATAAAGTTAAAGAAATAGAAAGGAGCCATATTTCATCTACAGATCAGATGAAGGATTTTACGGTTAAGTGATATTAAACTGTCATATTTTAAAAATCAGAATTGTTTATTAAAATGTATATATTTTAAAACTCAATTAAGAAATTAAATATGTTTACAATTTTTGCACTTAAGCATAAATGAGACATGCATTGTTGATATATCAATGGAAGCAGAAGAAAACTATTTCATAAAGTGAAAGCATAAGTTAGAGGTAAAAACTGAGTAAATAAATGGAAAAAATTTTTGACAATGGAGACTGTGGGCTACAAGAAAGAAAGATGTTTTGTTATGGACACTGAGATAATAAAGAAATAATAGAATACAGCATATTTACTGTGGTGCTTTGAGATAACTACTAAAAATTGCCTATGTAAACTAACAATATAGATGAAGGTAAGGTATATCAAGGAAATTCCTACTAAGGCAAATGACAGAATTTTTTTTTTTTTGATGGTGCTGGGGAAACTTGTGCATGCCAGGCAAGAACTCTACCAACTGAGCTATATCCCCAACCTGAGTCAAAATTTTTGAATAAAAAAGATGAGGATTCATCTTAGCATCATGTGAACCAAAATTCAAAAAATATAAAAATGCTTGTAGTTAAGTATATAATAACCAACTTCTTTCCTCAGCCATCTATTTTCTCTCCTTAGAGAACAATACTGATTTAGATTTTTACATATCCAAAGATTTAATATTGACTATCAAAAACAATTTATGTGTTTCCATCCATATGGTGTCCTTCTAGAAACACTGGTACAAGTTTACTTTAAAACACTGTGCTATTAAAATAGTTTTATATATTATTAAAATAAATATATTTTCAGGGCAGACATAAAATTATTTTTGTAATTTAGAAACATAGTTAAATAAAAAAGAGTTGAAGTTGATAGATGGGGCAATGACACTTTTTTTTTTTTAACCTGTTCCCAATATATCTGGAGTTGACTTGATTCTTGTTTCTTAAGAATTTTCAAGCTGGGCATAGTGATGCACCCTTGTAATCCTAGTGACTTGGGAGGCTGAGGCAGGCGGATTGAAGTTTGAAACCATCCCAGACAACTTAAGCATTAAGCAACTTACTGAATTACAAAAAAAAAAAAAAAAAAAAAAGTGCTGGGAATGTGCCTCAGTGGTTCAACCCCCAATAGGAAAAAAAACAAACAAACAAAACAAAAAAAAACCTCTTTCATGTTCAGGTCTGGTGAGATCAGGGCTATTTATTTGACAAGTGCTGTTTTTTTTTTTTTTTTCACTATTTTCAACACTTAACTTCTCATATTTTATAATATATGTCTTCCATTCCAGGTAGTTTAATTTTTCTTTTTCTTTCTTTCTTTCTATTTTTTTTTTTTTTTTTTTTTGAGCTGGGGATTGAACCCTCGCTTCCTGCATGTAAGGAAAGTGCTTCACTACTGAGCACTACATCCCAGACCTCAGTTTTTCTTTAGGTGTGTCTAATCTGGTCTCACAACCATCTCTACAATTCTTTGCTTCATATTTTGAATGCTTGGGGTATTTGTCTGGGAAATCTTTCTGGTTCTGGTTTTTATTTATTTATTTTTTTAAGTCTTAAAGGGTTCTCATTTCCTGTTCCATTCCCTGACATGCCCCTTCCCTATGTCTCTTCACCTGGCTGTTTTCATGTTCAGGTCTGGTGAGATCAGGACTATTTGACAGGTGCTTTTTTTTTTTTTTTTTAACTTCCAGGAAAAACTAATATCAAGACTGAACTTTATGTCCCAGGAGAAGCAATATTGATCCTTGTCAAGACAGATGACTGCGGAAGATTTACCAAGTGAACATAGCAGTGTCAGGTAGGAAAGGGATACGCATGGAGCAGGGTGTTTCTACCAGGAACCCCAAACTATAAGCTTCAGTATTCACCTGGCAGCAAAGATCCAATAGCTCCTCTAGACAGTGCTAGTGTGCAGGGAGGAAGCATATGTCAGCAGGATGGAGAATATCCTTGTGATATCAGAAAGCACCTGAAGTGTTTTTTAGCACGTGATTAGTTGTTCTTTCCCGTGCAGGTTGCCTGGTGCTTTGTTCCCTTAGCCACCTCAAACCGACCTAACAGCATCTATGGCTCTATCTCATCCCCAGCCTAGAGTACTGCCACCTCCACAGGGTCTGCTTCCTTTGTCCTCTGCCTTTGTCAAGGAATGTACTGGTCACAGGATCACTGAAGTTTTGGTTGACACTGCCACTCCAGGATTTGAGCTCTTTATCTTGCCTTCTTAATGGATTTTGTTTCTGTCCCCATCTGATCCCATTATCAGCTATCCCAGGCTGTACTTGGATCCACAGAGGTATACAGAGTGTCTGTGTCACAGTGTATGTGGTCAAAAAAGTGGTGTGGTGGCTGAGGTGACCCAGAAGTATAGTGACTTTAGCACCAAGTAGAGAAAGTCAGCCTTGCCCGCCCCCTACCCCAGCTTCCTGGGGGCCCTACTTGATGTGATTGGCCATTGGCCTGAGCTTGCATCACAATGACCACCAGGGTTGCTAAGCAACTGTCCCCAAGGATTTGAAGAACAAGAGCTTTCCTGCCAGTGTGAGCAGGACATAGCTCTTGCTCCTTTGTGAAGAACTAGTCCTGAGAACTCCTGATGTTACAGTGGATGGCTGCAGATCCTGGAAGTACATGGGGCCACCCAGTAAGGCTGAGGGAAATCTCACTGTGGTGCCTCAACACAGGCCTGGTACCCCTTCCTCAGGCCTGAGTGAGGATGTACCTGTGAATATCCCTAGAGTCTGCCCTGGGCCAAGGGAGAGTGGGACTGCCTGTGAGCCTTGTGGCTGCTGTTTCCAGAGGAGCCCCAGCATGTGGATCAGAGCCTGTAGATGATGGTGCTGCCTCAGCGTGTGTGTGTGTGTGGGGGGGGGGGGGGACTGGGATATGGTGGACCTTAGAAAATGTCATATAATTCTGCCCGATTCTGACACTGGTGTTGGGGTCTCGGATATTTCAAGCTGTGTCTCGGTCTGTGAAGTTTCCGAGATTTTGTGAACTTGGCTCTGTCTCATCCTATGCTATTTTGGGGATGGTCTGCCAGGCCAGCGGCTTCTGGTTCTTGTTTTCCATGAGTTCTGTTTGCGGGTGTGGCGATGAGCAAAAGGGTGACAGAGAGGGGCGAGAGAGAATGTCCACGCGTTTCTGCCCTTTTCAATGTTTTATTCACTCAAATCACCTAATACATAAATCTATAGGTTCTTAATCAAGAAAATAACAATCCTAATGCTGGGCATTGCGATAAACAATTCAAAGCAAACAATTCTATGTTAACTTCTAAGCACTGCAAACATAATCGTGACAGACCTATTACAGACATTTCCTCTGCACGCTAAGCGTAAGTGCTAGATTTCAAAGTCTTAAGTCTTTGGTCTTTATTCCAGCAGATGCACACTCACTCAGACCCCAGCGATCAGATCAGTAACCAATAGAGGCTTCCCCTTGGGGTGATGTTGACGGCTTGCTGAGGAGATGGTTGTAAGAAGACTTCCTTTTCTCACCAGAGTCAAGAAGCTGCTGGAGAGTTTGAGAGCAGTGAGGACAAAGAAGAGGTTTAGGCAGATGTGAAGGGTTGCGATGTCAGTCCAGGTCCTCATCAGGCTCTCAGGCTTTGTGTGCATCAGTGTCGGCTGGCTTGAATGTCTGTTCATTTGATTAATATTAATATAAAATTAGGTTATTTAATTTAATATTTATATTAAATTTGGGGAGCTTCTGCTCATCCTTTGGGTCCCTATCAACTGTTACCAGCTTTCTTAGTGACATCTTTCATTCTTAGAGTTAGGACATGTGGTTTGGTGATTTCCGCCCTGATGTCACACTTCTGACTCTTATCAGGGTTATAACAGATGACATGTGACTTCACCCTAACTCCTACCTGACTTGTGGAAAGTGACTTGCTTTTATCAGGCTATGTCTGATTGACACATTGGAGGGCTCCGTGACTTGCCTGGTGAGACTGCAGGTTTGTTTTAAGATGTAACTGCTTAGGCCTAAAGCCATCCTTATAGGGGGTCACTGTGAGATGAGTGCTGGGATTTGGATATTCCAAATCTGGCCATTAAGTATGCCCTCAGACTGTGATACTGTGATTGGTAGGCAAATAATTACTGACTTAAAAAAATGTTGGAAAGGAAAAGGTCTCATTTTGTATCTGTTGCTACTTTCCAGAAGTATTTGAAACACATAATAAATGTTCACGGATGATTTTTTTTTCAATTGTTCAAACATTCAAGTAGTATTTCAATCCTTCATTCTGTGGCTCCAATTGTATTGTAACTTGAAATTTAGCTAGTTTTTTTTTTAAAGTTCTTTTTCCAGTAAATTTCTTAAGATGCATGTGCTATACAAATAAGTTTTTATGTTTCGTTCATAGCAAACGTCTTTATTCTACTATCCTACTTTGCCTGGATTTGAAATTTGGAGACGTCACTTCATAGTTTTCCAGTAGTAGTGCAGTCAAGTCTAATGCTGTCTATACAGGTTCCAGCTGTGAGAGTTTTTTACTTTTTTCTTCTTTCTTCCTCTTCCTCCCCTCTTTTTTTTCTTTTTCACAATCTTCTCTACTTTTGATTTTTTTCTCTTAAGGGAATTTTTATTTAATGGGAGGACATTTTGTGAGTTTTGCCTCTAAATTTTTTTCTTCCTATTTTTAAAAAAATTTTATTTTTTAGCTTTAAGTAGACACAATATCTTTATTTTTATTTTTTATGTGGTGCTGAGGATCGTACCCAGTGCCTCACACATGCCAGGTGAGCGTGCTACTACTTGAGCCATATCCCCAGCCTCCCTGTTTTCTTTATACCTTTGCTTTAAGAATTTTGACTTTGTAAAAAAATGTTTTTACTATATTCTAGCTTCATTATTTGATCATTTCTAATTTCCAAAAGCACTTCCATGTTCATTTCTCTTTTCTGTCCAAATCAAATTAAGAGAATGGAGTTAGCATCACTGACTTCCTAATGTGATGAACTAAAAAGGAAAAGAGAAGGAAAAAAAAAAGCTTATTCTCTACCTTTTATATTGGATATATATATATATATTAAGCTGCTTAGGGCTTCACTAAGTTTCCGAGGCTGGCTTTAAACTTGCAATCCTCCTGCCTGAGCCTCCCAAGCCTCTGGGATTATAGGCATGTGCCATTGCCCCCATACCCTTATATATTTTTAATTAATCACACAAGAGTAGGTCACATCACTTTTGTCTTTCATGACATTGACATTATTGAAAAATACTGGCCATTTATTTTGTAAAATATCCTTAAATTGTGTTCATCTAATATTTCCTAATAGTAAGATGCATGTTGTGGTGCTTTGGCAAGTATATTATGTGCATAATGCTTTTTCCTTTTTAGTTCATCACATTAGGAAGTCAGTGGTGCTAACTCCATTCTCTTAATTAAGGTGTTCTTGCAGCTTATCCACTGTTCAATTATCAAATTCCCCTTTATAGTAGTTCAGTGTTTTGTGGGAAGGTATTTTAAAATTATGTAAATATCCTTCCTCTTCAAACTCTTACCCACTAATTTAGCATCCCTGATGATGAGCCATTTAATGTCTACAATGGTTGTGTTGTGATTTTCTAATTACTTTTCTTATTATAGTTAATAGTTGACATTTTACTATAAGGAAGATCTTTCCTTTCGCAGCCATCATTTTATGTTATTCAATGAATTATAACCTGTCTACTTCATTTTGAAGCTTGGATTACCTAATAATTGGCCACTGGGACCCTCTAAAGCTGGCTATTGTATCCTTTTGATAACCCCCTGATACTTTTTACTATTTCCATACATTGTGGAAAAAAAAAAAGTTTCAGGCTCACCTTGGACTTTTAGTTAACTAGCCTAAAGTGTGGAAAGTAAGACAGGGTACTAAAATAAAGTTAAAGAAATAGAAAGGAGCCATATTTCATCTACAGATCAGATGAAGGATTTTACGGTTAAGTGATATTAAACTGTCATATTTTAAAAATCAGAATTGTTTATTAAAATGTATATATTTTAAAACTCAATTAAGAAATTAAATATGTTTACAATTTTTGCACTTAAGCATAAATGAGACATGCATTGTTGATATATCAATGGAAGCAGAAGAAAACTATTTCATAAAGTGAAAGCATAAGTTAGAGGTAAAAACTGAGTAAATAAATGGAAAAAATTTTTGACAATGGAGACTGTGGGCTACAAGAAAGAAAGATGTTTTGTTATGGACACTGAGATAATAAAGAAATAATAGAATACAGCATATTTACTGTGGTGCTTTGAGATAACTACTAAAAATTGCCTATGTAAACTAACAATATAGATGAAGGTAAGGTATATCAAGGAAATTCCTACTAAGGCAAATGACAGAATTTTTTTTTTTTTGATGGTGCTGGGGAAACTTGTGCATGCCAGGCAAGAACTCTACCAACTGAGCTATATCCCCAACCTGAGTCAAAATTTTTGAATAAAAAAGATGAGGATTCATCTTAGCATCATGTGAACCAAAATTCAAAAAATATAAAAATGCTTGTAGTTAAGTATATAATAACCAACTTCTTTCCTCAGCCATCTATTTTCTCTCCTTAGAGAACAATACTGATTTAGATTTTTACATATCCAAAGATTTAATATTGACTATCAAAAACAATTTATGTGTTTCCATCCATATGGTGTCCTTCTAGAAACACTGGTACAAGTTTACTTTAAAACACTGTGCTATTAAAATAGTTTTATATATTATTAAAATAAATATATTTTCAGGGCAGACATAAAATTATTTTTGTAATTTAGAAACATAGTTAAATAAAAAAGAGTTGAAGTTGATAGATGGGGCAATGACACTTTTTTTTTTTTAACCTGTTCCCAATATATCTGGAGTTGACTTGATTCTTGTTTCTTAAGAATTTTCAAGCTGGGCATAGTGATGCACCCTTGTAATCCTAGTGACTTGGGAGGCTGAGGCAGGCGGATTGAAGTTTGAAACCATCCCAGACAACTTAAGCATTAAGCAACTTACTGAATTACAAAAAAAAAAAAAAAAAAAAAAGTGCTGGGAATGTGCCTCAGTGGTTCAACCCCCAATAGGAAAAAAAACAAACAAACAAAACAAAAAAAAACCTCTTTCATGTTCAGGTCTGGTGAGATCAGGGCTATTTATTTGACAAGTGCTGTTTTTTTTTTTTTTTTCACTATTTTCAACACTTAACTTCTCATATTTTATAATATATGTCTTCCATTCCAGGTAGTTTAATTTTTCTTTTTCTTTCTTTCTTTCTATTTTTTTTTTTTTTTTTTTTTTGAGCTGGGGATTGAACCCTCGCTTCCTGCATGTAAGGAAAGTGCTTCACTACTGAGCACTACATCCCAGACCTCAGTTTTTCTTTAGGTGTGTCTAATCTGGTCTCACAACCATCTCTACAATTCTTTGCTTCATATTTTGAATGCTTGGGGTATTTGTCTGGGAAATCTTTCTGGTTCTGGTTTTTATTTATTTATTTTTTTAAGTCTTAAAGGGTTCTCATTTCCTGTTCCATTCCCTGACATGCCCCTTCCCTATGTCTCTTCACCTGGCTGTTTTCATGTTCAGGTCTGGTGAGATCAGGACTATTTGACAGGTGCTTTTTTTTTTTTTTTTTTAACTTCCAGGAAAAACTAATATCAAGACTGAACTTTATGTCCCAGGAGAAGCAATATTGATCCTTGTCAAGACAGATGACTGCGGAAGATTTACCAAGTGAACATAGCAGTGTCAGGTAGGAAAGGGATACGCATGGAGCAGGGTGTTTCTACCAGGAACCCCAAACTATAAGCTTCAGTATTCACCTGGCAGCAAAGATCCAATAGCTCCTCTAGACAGTGCTAGTGTGCAGGGAGGAAGCATATGTCAGCAGGATGGAGAATATCCTTGTGATATCAGAAAGCACCTGAAGTGTTTTTTAGCACGTGATTAGTTGTTCTTTCCCGTGCAGGTTGCCTGGTGCTTTGTTCCCTTAGCCACCTCAAACCGACCTAACAGCATCTATGGCTCTATCTCATCCCCAGCCTAGAGTACTGCCACCTCCACAGGGTCTGCTTCCTTTGTCCTCTGCCTTTGTCAAGGAATGTACTGGTCACAGGATCACTGAAGTTTTGGTTGACACTGCCACTCCAGGATTTGAGCTCTTTATCTTGCCTTCTTAATGGATTTTGTTTCTGTCCCCATCTGATCCCATTATCAGCTATCCCAGGCTGTACTTGGATCCACAGAGGTATACAGAGTGTCTGTGTCACAGTGTATGTGGTCAAAAAAGTGGTGTGGTGGCTGAGGTGACCCAGAAGTATAGTGACTTTAGCACCAAGTAGAGAAAGTCAGCCTTGCCCGCCCCCTACCCCAGCTTCCTGGGGGCCCTACTTGATGTGATTGGCCATTGGCCTGAGCTTGCATCACAATGACCACCAGGGTTGCTAAGCAACTGTCCCCAAGGATTTGAAGAACAAGAGCTTTCCTGCCAGTGTGAGCAGGACATAGCTCTTGCTCCTTTGTGAAGAACTAGTCCTGAGAACTCCTGATGTTACAGTGGATGGCTGCAGATCCTGGAAGTACATGGGGCCACCCAGTAAGGCTGAGGGAAATCTCACTGTGGTGCCTCAACACAGGCCTGGTACCCCTTCCTCAGGCCTGAGTGAGGATGTACCTGTGAATATCCCTAGAGTCTGCCCTGGGCCAAGGGAGAGTGGGACTGCCTGTGAGCCTTGTGGCTGCTGTTTCCAGAGGAGCCCCAGCATGTGGATCAGAGCCTGTAGATGATGGTGCTGCCTCAGCGTGTGTGTGTGTGTGGGGGGGGGGGGGACTGGGATATGGTGGACCTTAGAAAATGTCATATAATTCTGCCCGATTCTGACACTGGTGTTGGGGTCTCGGATATTTCAAGCTGTGTCTCGGTCTGTGAAGTTTCCGAGATTTTGTGAACTTGGCTCTGTCTCATCCTATGCTATTTTGGGGATGGTCTGCCAGGCCAGCGGCTTCTGGTTCTTGTTTTCCATGAGTTCTGTTTGCGGGTGTGGCGATGAGCAAAAGGGTGACAGAGAGGGGCGAGAGAGAATGTCCACGCGTTTCTGCCCTTTTCAATGTTTTATTCACTCAAATCACCTAATACATAAATCTATAGGTTCTTAATCAAGAAAATAACAATCCTAATGCTGGGCATTGCGATAAACAATTCAAAGCAAACAATTCTATGTTAACTTCTAAGCACTGCAAACATAATCGTGACAGACCTATTACAGACATTTCCTCTGCACGCTAAGCGTAAGTGCTAGATTTCAAAGTCTTAAGTCTTTGGTCTTTATTCCAGCAGATGCACACTCACTCAGACCCCAGCGATCAGATCAGTAACCAATAGAGGCTTCCCCTTGGGGTGATGTTGACGGCTTGCTGAGGAGATGGTTGTAAGAAGACTTCCTTTTCTCACCAGAGTCAAGAAGCTGCTGGAGAGTTTGAGAGCAGTGAGGACAAAGAAGAGGTTTAGGCAGATGTGAAGGGTTGCGATGTCAGTCCAGGTCCTCATCAGGCTCTCAGGCTTTGTGTGCATCAGTGTCGGCTGGCTTGAATGTCTGTTCATTTGATTAATATTAATATAAAATTAGGTTATTTAATTTAATATTTATATTAAATTTGGGGAGCTTCTGCTCATCCTTTGGGTCCCTATCAACTGTTACCAGCTTTCTTAGTGACATCTTTCATTCTTAGAGTTAGGACATGTGGTTTGGTGATTTCCGCCCTGATGTCACACTTCTGACTCTTATCAGGGTTATAACAGATGACATGTGACTTCACCCTAACTCCTACCTGACTTGTGGAAAGTGACTTGCTTTTATCAGGCTATGTCTGATTGACACATTGGAGGGCTCCGTGACTTGCCTGGTGAGACTGCAGGTTTGTTTTAAGATGTAACTGCTTAGGCCTAAAGCCATCCTTATAGGGGGTCACTGTGAGATGAGTGCTGGGATTTGGATATTCCAAATCTGGCCATTAAGTATGCCCTCAGACTGTGATACTGTGATTGGTAGGCAAATAATTACTGACTTAAAAAAATGTTGGAAAGGAAAAGGTCTCATTTTGTATCTGTTGCTACTTTCCAGAAGTATTTGAAACACATAATAAATGTTCACGGATGATTTTTTTTTCAATTGTTCAAACATTCAAGTAGTATTTCAATCCTTCATTCTGTGGCTCCAATTGTATTGTAACTTGAAATTTAGCTAGTTTTTTTTTTAAAGTTCTTTTTCCAGTAAATTTCTTAAGATGCATGTGCTATACAAATAAGTTTTTATGTTTCGTTCATAGCAAACGTCTTTATTCTACTATCCTACTTTGCCTGGATTTGAAATTTGGAGACGTCACTTCATAGTTTTCCAGTAGTAGTGCAGTCAAGTCTAATGCTGTCTATACAGGTTCCAGCTGTGAGAGTTTTTTACTTTTTTCTTCTTTCTTCCTCTTCCTCCCCTCTTTTTTTTCTTTTTCACAATCTTCTCTACTTTTGATTTTTTTCTCTTAAGGGAATTTTTATTTAATGGGAGGACATTTTGTGAGTTTTGCCTCTAAATTTTTTTCTTCCTATTTTTAAAAAAATTTTATTTTTTAGCTTTAAGTAGACACAATATCTTTATTTTTATTTTTTATGTGGTGCTGAGGATCGTACCCAGTGCCTCACACATGCCAGGTGAGCGTGCTACTACTTGAGCCATATCCCCAGCCTCCCTGTTTTCTTTATACCTTTGCTTTAAGAATTTTGACTTTGTAAAAAAATGTTTTTACTATATTCTAGCTTCATTATTTGATCATTTCTAATTTCCAAAAGCACTTCCATGTTCATTTCTCTTTTCTGTCCAAATCAAATTAAGAGAATGGAGTTAGCATCACTGACTTCCTAATGTGATGAACTAAAAAGGAAAAGAGAAGGAAAAAAAAAAGCTTATTCTCTACCTTTTATATTGGATATATATATATATATATTAAGCTGCTTAGGGCTTCACTAAGTTTCCGAGGCTGGCTTTAAACTTGCAATCCTCCTGCCTGAGCCTCCCAAGCCTCTGGGATTATAGGCATGTGCCATTGCCCCCATACCCTTATATATTTTTAATTAATCACACAAGAGTAGGTCACATCACTTTTGTCTTTCATGACATTGACATTATTGAAAAATACTGGCCATTTATTTTGTAAAATATCCTTAAATTGTGTTCATCTAATATTTCCTAATAGTAAGATGCATGTTGTGGTGCTTTGGCAAGTATATTATGTGCATAATGCTTTTTCCTTTTTAGTTCATCACATTAGGAAGTCAGTGGTGCTAACTCCATTCTCTTAATTAAGGTGTTCTTGCAGCTTATCCACTGTTCAATTATCAAATTCCCCTTTATAGTAGTTCAGTGTTTTGTGGGAAGGTATTTTAAAATTATGTAAATATCCTTCCTCTTCAAACTCTTACCCACTAATTTAGCATCCCTGATGATGAGCCATTTAATGTCTACAATGGTTGTGTTGTGATTTTCTAATTACTTTTCTTATTATAGTTAATAGTTGACATTTTACTATAAGGAAGATCTTTCCTTTCGCAGCCATCATTTTATGTTATTCAATGAATTATAACCTGTCTACTTCATTTTGAAGCTTGGATTACCTAATAATTGGCCACTGGGACCCTCTAAAGCTGGCTATTGTATCCTTTTGATAACCCCCTGATACTTTTTACTATTTCCATACATTGTGGAAAAAAAAAAAGTTTCAGGCTCACCTTGGACTTTTAGTTAACTAGCCTAAAGTGTGGAAAGTAAGACAGGGTACTAAAATAAAGTTAAAGAAATAGAAAGGAGCCATATTTCATCTACAGATCAGATGAAGGATTTTACGGTTAAGTGATATTAAACTGTCATATTTTAAAAATCAGAATTGTTTATTAAAATGTATATATTTTAAAACTCAATTAAGAAATTAAATATGTTTACAATTTTTGAACTTAAGCATAAATGAGACATGCATTGTTGATATATCAATGGAAGCAGAAGAAAACTATTTCATAAAGTGAAAGCATAAGTTAGAGGTAAAAACTGAGTAAATAAATGGAAAAAATTTTTGACAATGGAGACTGTGGGCTACAAGAAAGAAAGATGTTTTGTTATGGACACTGAGATAATAAAGAAATAATAGAATACAGCATATTTACTGTGGTGCTTTGAGATAACTACTAAAAATTGCCTATGTAAACTAACAATATAGATGAAGGTAAGGTATATCAAGGAAATTCCTACTAAGGCAAATGACAGAATTTTTTTTTTTTTGATGGTGCTGGGGAAACTTGTGCATGCCAGGCAAGAACTCTACCAACTGAGCTATATCCCCAACCTGAGTCAAAATTTTTGAATAAAAAAGATGAGGATTCATCTTAGCATCATGTGAACCAAAATTCAAAAAATATAAAAATGCTTGTAGTTAAGTATATAATAACCAACTTCTTTCCTCAGCCATCTATTTTCTCTCCTTAGAGAACAATACTGATTTAGATTTTTACATATCCAAAGATTTAATATTGACTATCAAAAACAATTTATGTGTTTCCATCCATATGGTGTCCTTCTAGAAACACTGGTACAAGTTTACTTTAAAACACTGTGCTATTAAAATAGTTTTATATATTATTAAAATAAATATATTTTCAGGGCAGACATAAAATTATTTTTGTAATTTAGAAACATAGTTAAATAAAAAAGAGTTGAAGTTGATAGATGGGGCAATGACACTTTTTTTTTTTAACCTGTTCCCAATATATCTGGAGTTGACTTGATTCTTGTTTCTTAAGAATTTTCAAGCTGGGCATAGTGATGCACCCTTGTAATCCTAGTGACTTGGGAGGCTGAGGCAGGCGGATTGAAGTTTGAAACCATCCCAGACAACTTAAGCATTAAGCAACTTACTGAATTACAAAAAAAAAAAAAAAAAAAAAGTGCTGGGAATGTGCCTCAGTGGTTCAACCCCCAATAGGAAAAAAAACAAACAAACAAAACAAAAAAAAACCTCTTTCATGTTCAGGTCTGGTGAGATCAGGGCTATTTATTTGACAAGTGCTGTTTTTTTTTTTTTTTTCACTATTTTCAACACTTAACTTCTCATATTTTATAATATATGTCTTCCATTCCAGGTAGTTTAATTTTTCTTTTTCTTTCTTTCTTTCTATTTTTTTTTGAGCTGGTGATTGAACCCTCGCTTCCTGCATGTAAGGAAAGTGCTTCACTACTGAGCACTACATCCCAGACCTCAGTTTTTCTTTAGGTGTGTCTAATCTGGTCTCACAACCATCTCTACAATTCTTTGCTTCATATTTTGAATGCTTGGGGTATTTGTCTGGGAAATCTTTCTGGTTCTGGTTTTTATTTATTTATTTTTTTAAGTCTTAAAGGGTTCTCATTTCCTGTTCCATTCCCTGACATGCCCCTTCCCTATGTCTCTTCACCTGGCTGTTTTCATGTTCAGGTCTGGTGAGATCAGGACTATTTGACAGGTGCTTTTTTTTTTTTTTTTTTAACTTCCAGGAAAAACTAATATCAAGACTGAACTTTATGTCCCAGGAGAAGCAATATTGATCCTTGTCAAGACAGATGACTGCGGAAGATTTACCAAGTGAACATAGCAGTGTCAGGTAGGAAAGGGATACGCATGGAGCAGGGTGTTTCTACCAGGAACCCCAAACTATAAGCTTCAGTATTCACCTGGCAGCAAAGATCCAATAGCTCCTCTAGACAGTGCTAGTGTGCAGGGAGGAAGCATATGTCAGCAGGATGGAGAATATCCTTGTGATATCAGAAAGCACCTGAAGTGTTTTTTAGCACCTGATTAGTTGTTCTTTCCCGTGCAGGTTGCCTGGTGCTTTGTTCCCTTAGCCACCTCAAACCGACCTAACAGCATCTATGGCTCTATCTCATCCCCAGCCTAGAGTACTGCCACCTCCACAGGGTCTGCTTCCTTTGTCCTCTGCCTTTGTCAAGGAATGTACTGGTCACAGGATCACTGAAGTTTTGGTTGACACTGCCACTCCAGGATTTGAGCTCTTTATCTTGCCTTCTTAATGGATTTTGTTTCTGTCCCCATCTGATCCCATTATCAGCTATCCCAGGCTGTACTTGGATCCACAGAGGTATACAGAGTGTCTGTGTCACAGTGTATGTGGTCAAAAAAGTGGTGTGGTGGCTGAGGTGACCCAGAAGTATAGTGACTTTAGCACCAAGTAGAGAAAGTCAGCCTTGCCCGCCCCCTACCCCAGCTTCCTGGGGGCCCTACTTGATGTGATTGGCCATTGGCCTGAGCTTGCATCACAATGACCACCAGGGTTGCTAAGCAACTGTCCCCAAGGATTTGAAGAACAAGAGCTTTCCTGCCAGTGTGAGCAGGACATAGCTCTTGCTCCTTTGTGAAGAACTAGTCCTGAGAACTCCTGATGTTACAGTGGATGGCTGCAGATCCTGGAAGTACATGGGGCCACCCAGTAAGGCTGAGGGAAATCTCACTGTGGTGCCTCAACACAGGCCTGGTACCCCTTCCTCAGGCCTGAGTGAGGATGTACCTGTGAATATCCCTAGAGTCTGCCCTGGGCCAAGGGAGAGTGGGACTGCCTGTGAGCCTTGTGGCTGCTGTTTCCAGAGGAGCCCCAGCATGTGGATCAGAGCCTGTAGATGATGGTGCTGCCTCAGCATGTGTGTGTGTGTGTGTGTGTGTACGTGTGCATGTGGGCACTTGCCTGTGTGTAGGTCTTCTGGAGATGGATGGATCCTGTGCCTGAAGCTTGAACTTCTCTGTTGTCCATGCTCTTTCTCCTGACCTGATAATACTTTGTGTGCTAGTGTTTAGCTCTGGCACCATGTATGTTGCAAAGTTGCTGAGGCAGGTCTTGTGTCAGGGTTTTTTAGCCTCCTGTTTCCTCCTGACCTGCAGGAGAGATGGGGAAAGCATGCCCCGACCAGGAGGAGCTGAGAAAGGTAAAGCCCTCCCTTCCCTAGGACAATCAAGTGGGCCAGGGAGAACAGTCAAAGCAGGATCTCATTTAATGAGAAAACATACACAGCTAATATAATGTACAGGAGCCAGTCAGGATAAAGGTCAGCAGGGTGGGGAGAATTTACATCTACTCCCATCCTACAGGCAGTAATGTCCGTGAGGGCAGAAGGGTTCTGAGCCTATCCTAGAGGTGGTCCGATTCTTCATCACAACCCAGGGCAATGCCTTCTGGCTAATCTCTAGGTGCTCTCTTAGCCACATGTGGCCCCAGGACTGGGAAGCGGGTGCAGCCAGCAAGTTAAGTTTCCTCTTTTCTGATGCAACATGCCCACATTACATCATGCCCTACAGTCTTGAACTTATGATCCTCCTGCCTTGGCCTCCTGACTCACTGGGATTGCATGTATGTGCCACTGGCTACAAACTCATTTTGAAGTTACAGAAAGGTATAAAGACAGGTCAAAGGAAGTGGTTCTATCTCTAATCATACCATTCTCTAGTGTTAGCTAATGTCTTAACTCATGATTTTAATGAGACCAAGAAGAAAGTGGCTTGGGCAATATTACTAACCAGAATGCAGACTTTGGGGATCCATATGGCAGGGTAATGCTATCTCCTCAGCTGCTTGTACTCTTACATTTTTCCTCAGTCCTTCCTCATCTTCCATAAGCTTCGTGGACTTTCATTTTGGGATACCCTTCAAAAGAAAAAAGGCTTTCTATGGAAAAGGGTGATGTAATTCTTTGGTGTCAGTTCCATCGCTCTCAGCTCAGTAACATCTATTTCTTCTAGGCTGATGCAATCATCCTAGAGTTCTAGCTTGGTATGTTCATTCATTCATATATATATATGACTTGGGTTTTCATTGCCAGTCATACAGTTGAGTGATGGAAGTATTGTGACATGGATCCAGCACTAGTTGTTCTTTGCCTTCCTTATTTTTTCCCTTCACTTTCATTTTCATTCAAATTCATTGATGTCTAATTCCAATTTAGGTGTCACTTATGGCTTATGAGCACTCAACCTTCTCTCTTTCATTGTTTTCATAGAAGGGTCAGTCCTTGAGGTCTTAAATGTGATGGTTGATCATTAGAAATCCCCACGTTTATTTTAATATACTCTCTTGGCTTGCAAGGCCTTGGGTAGGCCTTCAGTATATACCTGGTCCTAGTTATGGTTTTCTTCTTCAGCCTTCCAGGTTTTCATTTTTGAGGATGAAATTCTTTGTATCCACCAACATGCTGTTTAAGTAGGCAGCAGCCCTGCTTTCCTGCTCCTAGGGCACATATGGTAGAGAAATACACAGAGGTCAAAGAGAGAAGCCTTAGGAGCCTAGAGGCCTTTGGCAGAAGTAACCTGAACAAGCCCTGCCCTGCCCTTTCACTGAGCCCCCATATTCAAGGCAGAGCAGTACCTCCTACTTTTCCTACTTTCCAGTGAAAGGTCAGCCTTGCTTTTCCCTGGGAATAGACCCTCCCAGGAAGTAATCAATCACCTACTGCAGAGAGTGCTGACTCAGGAAGCTTCTGTGTAAGAAGTGTACATGCCTGTTTCAAAGAAGTAAGGGTAATACCTGCCAGCTGCTGTGACCTACCTGGAAGACTATGCTCACCAAAGCCAAGCCAGATACCTGAGTGGGTTTTTTTTTTTTATGGAGGAGTGTGGATATCAGGGGTTGAACTCAGTGACACACAACCATTAGCCACATCCCGAGCCCTGTTTTGTATTTTATTTAGAGGCAGGGTCTCACTGAGTTGCTTAGTGCCTTGCTGTTGCTGAGGCTGGCTTTGAACTCATGATCTTTGAACACTTCTAGAGTAGGGAACTTACTTGTCACATCTAAAGGTGGTCTTCATGTCACAGGCAGGAACTTCTACTTGACATACTCACTACTAAACTCAGGGAACTTCCATCCCTGCCCACCAGATTATATCACTGCCCCATCTGACTTCATCTCCACCCAGGTGGTTCTAGATCCAGATCAAAGTCTAGCAACTGTGGTGATAACGACAAGTGACCCACAGCTCTGGTAAATAGATCTCTGAGAACTCAGAGGACCTCAGCCTCTCATGTAGTTCAAATGTGCCTTGAACTCCTGGTGTAGTTGCATAGATAACAGGAAGCACTTGCATCACAGTGGTCACCTGGGTACTGAGTCATGAGTCACTCAGGGTATGTGTCGAGCTCAAACCTCTATGGCAGTGTGCAGGTGCAGGTTATAGACATTGCAAAGGCACCTGGCTTTAGAATGTGCATTTTAGTGGGTCAAAGCAGGTGGTTGAGTTCAGGCCACAAAGGTGGGATTGGGAGCCTTGTTGGGTCTGGGTGTGGTTCCTAGCATTGGGACTGCATTGGGGATGTGCATGTGACTCTCTTTTGGGGAGTCTTCTTAGTGACTGCACATGTGCTTTGGGGCTGTTTTTCTCCCCGAAGTGATTTAGTGCTTGGGAAGACCCCAGAGCTCAAGGAGCTATGTGCCTAAGTACTGGGTGGGGCAAGTGCACTTCTTCTGGGCCTCAAATCTGTGGGCCTCTGGACCTTATCTGTTACTTCTTTTGCCTTGCAGCTGTGTATGTGATATTTTTTTTGGGGGGAGGGGGGTGTCACTGTACAGTGACAGTTTCCATCTATATCCTGAGTAACATCAGATTCTGGTTTGGCTGCTAGCTACTTCCTATGCACACCTTCTCTTCTGATTTCCGTTCTTGATTGAGGAGGCAGTGCCCAGCATAACTGGTACCCTGTTCAACCCCCTTCCTTTTTCTCTACAGTCTTCTACAGTTTTGTCTTTGGCCACCACCCATTTACTTCTTTCGGTTCTTTCTCTTTCTCTACCCTTTTTAGGGTTCTAAGTGCCTTTTCTTTTTCTTTTTACTTTCTTTTTTTGGTACTGGAGATTGAACCTAGGGATGCTTAACCACTGAGCCATATCCCCAGCCCTTTTTATTTAATTTTGAGACAGAGTCTGGCTAAGTTGCTTGGGCCTCACTAAGTTGCTAAGGCTGAGTCAGCTTTGAACTTGTAATCCTCCTGCCTCAGCCTCCTGAGCTACTGGGATTATAGGTGTGCATCAACACACCTGGCTCTAAGTACTTTTTTAAAAAATTAAATTTATTTTTATATTGCTAGGTGTTTTTTAAAAATTGGAGTCAGCTCTTCATTCTTTAATCTCTATATATTGCCTCTGAAATGTTCACCATCTCTTATCCTTCTAGGATCCCAGTTCCATGTGCTATAATTCATTACTATATACCTTATGCTTATACTTTCTCTTCACTATTTCTATTAATTTTTTCCTCATAAAATGACTGGATGTTATGTCTTCAATTCTAGTAGGTTAATTTACCCTTCAACTGTATTTAATATGTTCTTCAACATGTCTGTTTAATTCATTTTCTTTAAATTTATGTATATACCCTTTGTAGCCGCCGCCTTCCTCCTCCTCCTCCTCCTCCTCTTCTTCTAGGGATCAAACCCATGGCCTCACACTTGTTAAGCAGTCTACCACTGAGCTAAACCCCAAACCCCTGTATTTATTTTTCATAAGAGTTTCTATTCTTTACCAAAAGCATAATGTCTTTTAACATATAATTGTAGTTATTTTTGTATCCATCTGGTTTCTTTAAATCAGCTTTATTATGGTATATGTCAAATGATGCACATCACTTTTACACTTTTACACACATAAAGTTTTCATGTGTTTTGACAAAGGGACCTAAACATAGGGTACATTCACAATTGCTACCTCAAATGTGGAAGCAATGCTTTAGTCCTCAAACCCTTATTGTGAGTTGCCAAAGGTTCATTAGGAAATGATTCATACTGCTTTTTAAATTTAGAGAAGGAAGGGCCAGTGGTATTGGCTGAGGAAAGAGTGTATGTGCAATTTGGATGGAGAGCCCAAGGGCAAATTAGTAAACCTCAGCATAGGATAAGCTCAAGGACTTCTTGGGATTGTTCTAGCTGCAAAGGCGAAATAGTAATAATTAATAATAATAACAATTACAATAAGAGGAAACAAAGAAGGATCCTTTCAACATTATCTCTATAATACATGTAACAAAAACCTGAAGGGAAAGATACATGGGTAACACCAGTATTTCTCATTCACTAAATGATCTGAAGGTATCTGATTTGCATCTTACCCCGCAAGGTTACAATCAAGTCTTTTTTTTTTTTTTTTAAGAGAGAGAGAGAATGAATTTTTAATATTTATTTATTTTTTTTTTTTTTTAGTTTTTCGGCGAACACAACATCTTTGTTTTTTGTATGTGGTGCTAAGGATCGAAACCAGGCCACACGCATGCCAGGCGAGCGTGCTACCACTTGAGCCACATCCCCAGCCCCACAATCAAGTCTTTTAGATGGAAGCAATCAGTTCATTGTAGGAGCTCAGTTTAGTGAAACATAACCAGCCTTCACTGTTATCTTCTCATTCTACATACTAAGAAAACCACTTATCTGACTTAAGTTTCAACAGCCATTCCATACACCTGTTCCCCCCAACCTCCAAAGTATTCTCTCTCTCTCTCTCTCTCTTTCCTCACCTCCCCTCCTTTTTGTGTGTGTGTGTGTGTGTGTGTGGTGGGGGCAGTGGTACTGGGGATTGAACCCAGAGCCTTGTGCAAGCTAGGTAAGCATTGGAACTAGATCCCAGCCCTTTTTATTTTTTGAGACAGGGTTTGACTGAGTTGCCCACGCTAACCTCAAAATTGCACTCCTCCTGCCTTAGCCTTCTGAGTAAGTGGGATTACAGGTGTACCTACCATGCCTGCTCCTACTTTTATTTTCTTATAGAAATTAGAAAATAACTCTTATCAGAATTAATTCTGCTTCTTATCAGAATTAATTCTGCTTCAGTGATTTTTTTTTTTTAACTCTTACCCATTCATCACCTGCCAAGGCTGAATACAGACCAGGTTTACACTTTCTGAGCTAGCATGAGTTTACCAAAGATGAGAAATCCAAGTATTTCCCATATTGAGCTGTGCTTGGTGTTCTGTGCTGTCATGTCTTTGTCTGCTGTGCCTATGACCTATGAATTGGGAAGTAGATGGCAAGGGATATTTTATTCTGGGGAAACTATGCATAGAATTCAAGGTAGTTTTTGAACTCTGGAAGAAATCACAGATTTATTTTCATTCGGTTTTGAAATTTGACATGCTTTCTTTTATGAATGAGGACAACAAATCAGTTATTAGAAATACTTCATTGCAAGAAGAATCGTGTATCTTCATGTCACATTACAGTGTTAAAGATATCTTAAGATATCATTTATATTTCATTACCTTAAGACATCATTTATATTTCATTACTTTGAAACTTAGTAGTTAATAGATTTATTGCCATATTTTCTGTATGTTGATAAACACATAAATTGCAAGGCCTCAAATTTAAAAAAAATTTTTAGGAAAGATATTTAAATTGTTTAATTTTTAGTCATTTGTACATTACAGCATATATTTAAAAATATTCCTGTCTGGCATAATGGCATGTCGCAGTCCCAACTACTAGGAAGGCTAAGACTGGAGGATCACTTGAGCCCAGGAGTTTGACATCAGCCTGGGCAACTTAGCAAGACTCTGTCTCAAAAAAAAAAGACAACAACCACAAATTGCTGACTATCACAGGCTTCACCAGAATGCCAAAAAGAGTTCATTGCTGCAACCTGCATGGCCGAACCCTAGAGACAGGCAGAGGCAATGTGGGATTAAGAAAGACACACAAACATTTATAAAGAGAAAGCTGGGACCAGGTGGGATACCTT